GGAGTCATGTATCTATCTCACTGCTGAAGGAGGACTGTGAACACGGAAAAAGGAAGACATGAAAGGACCCCTGCAGTCCTGGATTGGAAATGGAGATATGAACATGACTCGTGTTGCTTTTCAGTGCCTACATATCAGAATTGTTTCTCCTGGGAAGATGTGAACAAGTGTCTTCTTGCCTCAGATGGAGAACACACAGCATAATAAGGAAGGGATTCCACTCAAATCTAGTTTGGTGTACCAGGGAGTTTAAGCTGAGTTACTCACAGGAGCCAGGAGAGTTTACAGTTGGCCGCTCTGTGTACTCAGGAAACATCCTGAGGGTCTAGTACACAGCTTTGTGAACGCCTTGTGTGCTGCCGCCTGAGAGAGATGCTCGTACACTGCCTTGTGAACCTGCTCTCCCTTCCACCAGGGAATGGCAGTGGGCATTCCTGTGAAAGCCTTACGTTGGTAAACACAGCAGCTCTGATTTCAATATGATGGTGACCATGTCATGGCCAGAGGATAACGCTACCTAATATGTATGAAAAGGAGTGTGTGTGTGTGTGTGTGTGTGTGTGTGTTTACACATTTTCTAGCTCTGTGACCTAACAGAGCCTAGAAACTATAATCACACCAAGTGCCTGAAAGTCTAAATCCCATGTCTGCTAATAGGATCTAATTCCTGAGTTAGGGCAGAACTAAACTTGGTTCAAGAAACAGAAGATGAGATCAAGGAGATTTTTAATAAATGATATTGGCATATCAAAACCACAGAAGAACTCACCAATTTGAACATTGAAAGTAAACAATAATTGATGATAATCCATTGTATAAAATAGGTACCCATCCTATTAAACAATTTAAGTATGGAGGATAAGTAACTCTCCTTTTTACTGTAAAATGTGTGCCAACAAATATGGAAGAAATTATAGAATTTGGAAAATCACTATTAGGCTATCATTAGATTGATGGCTGAGTTAGGATGGTGTAAAGTGTGTGTGCATGCATGCGTGCGTGCGTGTGTGCTTGTGCGTGTGCATGTGCGTGTGTATACATGTACTTCTGTAACTGAATATTAATGTCATCTCTGAATATCTCCTTGTGAAATACTCAGTTGATTTTAAAATAGGGAAATGATATTTTTATAGTCACTGTCAACATGACCAGGCAGAACAAACTGACATTAATTACATTGGCATTGTGTGCTTCTTAAGCGTTGTGCTGGAAAGAGAGCATGGTTTGTCAGGAATCTTGCTGAAAGCTGAAGATTTGAGTTAGACTATGAAGAAAAACAATATAGTCCTGGGCTAAGGGGCACTTTGCAGAAGAAAGACCTATGTGTTTAAAACTCCTCAGTCATGAAAGAAAATGGAAGGCCTGCCCTGGGTTGAAGGCGACTGAAGAGTGACAATGCCATGTGTCTTCCTGCAAGGTCTGTGGTCACATAGGAACAAGATGGATCAGATAGCATGATTGTATAGATTTCTTCTTTAGCAAGTTAAGTAGTGATTACATTTGCTAGAGCTCTTGCTTTCAGGGAATGGTGAACTCTGATGTTTACGAGTACAGACCTGCATATCTTCAGCTTGCTCTCAACTTGTTGATTGGGAAAAATGAGTTAATTGTACACATATATGTGAGGTAGTAGGGAGGTCAGCACATGCTGGAATTGTAACAAGGAACTTGGGTGAAGGTGAGATAGAATCTTCTGTATAATTGTGTCCTTTGATTTTCTGACGTTTGAAATTACTTCAAAATAAAAATTGCAAAATTAAAAAAAAATCTAACATTTAAAATTTTAAGAACAAATATGTAATGTAATAAGAAGTTAACATTTGCAATGTATTCATAGCCTGGAAGGCATTTTTATAATTATGTAGAGTTTATACAATTTTGAAATGGTTTTTAATATCTTCTCTGGTATAGTTTTATGATATAAATTTATGTTTTTATTTTTATCCTCAATTGCTAATGCTTGGGACATGCTTTTCTTTTAAAATATTTATAGCATAGTTTTTTCATTGTATGGTTACCAATGCTGAGTTCCAACCCTGTGATGTTTTGTTAGTATGTATTTATGTGTTGATATTCAGTAAAAAATTAGTTGGCTTATTAATTAGCTCCCTCTTTGGAAGGACAGTTTATTTCTCTTTCACATCTGGATAAAGATGTAGATTTTTTTGTAGTAGTTAAAATGTAAATACTGTCTAGGACCTCCATTATTTAAGGTCAGGATTTGACAGCCTTAAGTATTCTTCAGGTCTTGGTTAGGCAACCGTATTTGTTGAGATTTCAAGGTTGCAGCCGCCAGGTCATGACTTTGAAGATAGCATGTAGCAATAGGCGTCCTGGCTCTGACAGTCTTGACTCTCCCTCTTCCATGATCTCTGAGCCTTAAATGTAAGGGTTGCATTGTAGATGTGCTGACTGGGGCACCATAAAGTCTGATTTTTATCCGGTCTTGGATCTCTAATAGCTTCTGTCTGTTGCAGAAAGAATCTTTGATGAAGGACAAGAAGTACACTCATCTGTTTGTTAACTAGTATTTAGAATGTAGTTAGAAATTATATTGGTGCAGGGTAGTGGTAGCACATGCCTTTAATCCCAACACTTGGGAGGCAGAAGCAGGCGGATTTCTGAGGCCAGCTTGATCTACAGAGTGAGTTCCAGGACAGCCAGGGCTACACAGAGAAACCTTGTCTCAACCCCTCCCCCCTAAAAAAAAAAGAAAGAAAAAAAGAAAGAAAAAGAAATTATGTTGGTTTAAGAAAATGCCAATAACAAGTTACTCTACTGTGACTTCTCCAGCCATGGGTAGTTGGGTAAGTTTATATTACCAAGTATGAATTTGCACATATTGAATGGGCATTTAAGTTCAAATTGACAGCTAGTAGTCACCCCCACAACAAAAGTGCCATGATATTGTACCACTGGGGATATCTTGCTGGGATAGGCTTTATAGCTGGATAGGTTAGTTAATTCTTCTCCCTTGGTAGCTTGCATAGCACTTTCAGATACTATGAGAGCTAGTCCTCAGAGAGAAGGCTTCCAAGTGAATTCCAGACCAATTTCTCCAAGTCTTATATTTGAAGTATGTGGTGTTTCAGTAATAGAGTCTTAGTTTTAAGTTCTGGAAGGCACCAAGGACAATGGCAACAGCCTATATTGTTTTGAGAACCTCTGCAACCTCCCTGACCAACAACTGAAAAGGAAGTTTCTGTATTTTGGGGGTTTGTTAGTCTATGACTGCTGGAAACCTTATAACCCTATGTGGCCTAATTCCACTTAAGCCCCACTCCCACGTATGTATGTATGTATGTATGTATGTATGTATGTATGTATGTACTATATACAAGTTTTAAGTAAGCTTATAAAAATGTTTCCATATGTCTTTTTCAAACATCTTCAGTGGTATTTACCCCAGTCCGCCTCTATGCTGCTGTCTTTCCCTGTTTCCCCTTACCCTCTTATAGCACTTGTGTCCTGCTACTGCCCTTGATGGTTGGAGTGATGATGATGCTTCCTGTAGGTTCATGTGCTCATTAGTGGAACTGTTTGGTGAGGATTAGGAAGTGTGGCCTTGTTGGAAGAGGTGTTTCATTGGGTTTTGAAGACTCAAGCCATTTCCAGTCAGCTCTCTGCCTCCTGCTTGTGGGTCCAGTTGTAAGCTCTCAGCTGTGGCTCAAACAGTCTGCTGCCATACCTTTGCTCTCTTATCATAGACTCTAACCCTTTGGGAGGGCCAACACCAAATGAACCCTTCTTTCTGTTAAGCGCCTTGCCATGATGTTTTGTCATAGCAGTTGGAAACTAAGATACATGTTTCTAGATGTCCTCCCTGTCTCTATATCTATTTCCTGGATTCTGTGTCTACTTCAGGAGTTGAATTTCTCAAGGAAGCACTAATGCCGTTTCTCGTAGCTTTGACCTTCTTTTTGGCCTTCATGATAAGGGAAGCAGAAATTGGGTTAGTGGTTCATATTACAAATAGAAATCTTCTAACTTTGATAGTAGATGTTGGAATTACTTTGATAGAGAAGAGAAAGTGTGACTGTGTTTGTCACCTTAATTATCTCACCTGCAAGTTAAATTGCAACTGTAGCTCACCTGAACCTAACGAGCTTATGCTCACACTGACTTCTCTGCACACATCAGTGAGTACTGAATGTCTTCTATACACACGTGTACTGACTGTCCTCCACACACATGAGTACTGACTGTCCTCTACACATATGAGTGAGTACTGAATGTTCTCCACACACATGAGTACTGACTATCCTCTACACACACGAGTGAGTACTGACTGTCCTCTACACACATGAGTACTGAATGTCCTCTACACACACAAGTGAGTACTGACTGTCCTC